CCTCCTCCTCCTCCTCCTGTTCCTCCTCCTCCTCCTCCTCCTCCTCCTCATCATCATCATCAGTATCCTCAGCATCATCATCATCAGCATCATCAGTATCATCATCAACATCATCAGCATAATCAGCAGCAGCATCAGCATCATCATCATCATCATCATCATCATCATCATCATCATCATCATCATCATCATTATCATCAGCAGCAGCATCATCATCGTCATCGCCATCGTCATCATCATCATCATCACCATCATCATCATCATCATCATCATCATCATCATCATCAGCATCAGCATCAGCATCAGCATCAGCATCAGCATCATCATCAGCATCATCATCATCATCATCATCAACAACAACCCCCTCCTCCTCCTCCTCCTTCACCTTCTCCTCCTCCTGCTCCTCCTCCTCCTCCTTCACCTTCTCCTCCTCCTGCTCCTCCTCCTCCTTCCTCCGCCCCCCTCTCTCTCCTCCTCCTCCTCCTCCTCCTCCTCCTCTCCTCCTCCTCTCCTTCCTCCTTCCTCCTCCTCCTCCTCCTCCTTCTCCCCCTCCGCCCCCTCCTCCTTCACCCCCTCCTCCTCCTCCTCCTCCTCCTCCTCCTCCTCCTCCTCCTCCTCCTCCTCCTATCTCATCCTGATCATCTCTCCTTCCTCTACCCTCCTCCTCCTCCTCCTCCTCCTCCTCCTCCTCTTCCTCCGCCTTCTCCTCCTCGTCCTCCTCCTCGTCCTCCTTCTCCTCCGCCCTCCTCGTCCTGCTGCTCCTCCTCCTCCTCCTCCTCCTCCTCCTCCTCCTCCTTCTCCTCCTCCTCCCTCTTTCTCCTCTTCTTCCTCCTCCTCCTCCTCCTCCTCCTCCTTCTGCTCATGCTCCGGCTCCGGCTCCTCCTTCTCCCTCCCCTCCTCCTGCTCCCTCCTCCCCTCCTCCTGCTCCCTCCTCTCCCTCCCCCTCCTCCCCTCCTCCTGCTCCTCCTTCTCCGTCCTCCTCCCTCCTCCTCCTGCTCTTGCTCCTGCTCCTCCTTCTCCCTCCTCCTCCTCCTCCTCTCCTCCTCCTCCTCCCTCCTCCTCCTCCTCCTCCTCCTCCCCCTCCGCCCCCTCCTCCTTCACCTCCTCCTCCTACCTCTGTTTGGTTACCCTCCTGCCCAAGACGTCCACGTCTGAAAGACCTATCACTAAATGCCCCACCCTCTACCGACTGTATACCCGAATCCGAGGGGATAAAATCCAGAACTGGACCGACTCTCACGTCGCCTTCTGGGATGCGGCTGTGAAGAATTCCTCGGCCCTGAGGGCCGCCATGCTTCGTGAGGTTTTGCACGAGTGTGCTCGGGTGGAGGGAGTGTTTTCTGTTTCTGGCCATTGGGATATGGAGAAGTTTTTTGACACCATCGACCCAAGTAAGCTCATCGGCTTGGCTCAGGCTGTCGACTACTCCTCCCTGCTCCTCTACCTGGGCCTCCTGATCCACACCTCCCCCAGGCTCCTCGAGGTCCAGTCCCTGGTGTCGGGAGTGATGCAGGCTGGCCAATCCATCTTAGCTGGATGTTCCCAGTCCTTACCTTGGATAAAATGTTATCTCTATGATATCTTGGAGGCGGCACACTGTCGTGTCCCTCGTGTTCCTATTTCGGCTTATGTTGACGACCTTACCCAGTGCATCCAAGGCTCTGTGCAGGACATCCTTACCAAACTGGTGCCTGCTGCGCGTGAACTTTGTGTTGTTTTGAAACACCGTGGGTGTAAGATTTCGTCGAAGTCGTGTGTCGTCGCCTCTTCTCGGCAGGTTGGTCGCCCCTTCCAGGCTCTTTGTGAGGAGCTGAATATTCCGCTTAAGGTTGTTGACTCTGTGAAGGACTTGGGAGTTGGGACCACGGCGGGAAGGAGGAGGACGATGTGGAAAATGAATCAGCGTAAAGAAGAGGCACGAATTCGCAGTAAGAAGCTCACGTTTCTGTCTCATGTCAATCGTCGTGCTCGCAAGTTGTTTAAGCCTGGAGTGGTTGCTGTTGGCACATGGAGCCATCAAGTCCTCGGCACACCACCTTCACGTATGCGTGCTCTCCGTGCCCAGGCTGCCAAGGCGACAGGACGATGGCATGCAGGCTGTTGTACCACTACCCTCCTTGCTCTTGATCATGCTATGTCTGACGACCCAGCGTATAAGATTCGTTTTGAGCATCTTTTGGAATGGAGCCGAACCTACCGTGCCCTTGACCCGAGCCAACTCGGGAGTGTGAACAAAGTGTGGCCTAAGTTGTTAGCTAAGCTGCGGAGTGTTCCCCCTGTTCACCGTTGGCGTCATGTGCGGGGACCCATCGCGTCTGTCATCATGTGTGTCTTGAAACTCAATGGGAACCCGATGGAGCCCTGCACGTGGAGATTCCCTGATGTTACCCTCCATGTTGACCGACGTGATTTCCCGTATTTTTTGTGGAAGACTGTTGAAAAACAAGTGGGTGGTATGCTTTGGGTCCAGGCGTCTAAGGCGTATGGGGGACAGGGTCTGCATGAAGGCGTCGATTTTACTGTATTGCGCAGGCTGAGGAATTCGCTGGCTCGGCAAGGCGACCTCGACGGCGTTGCCATTTTGAACCACCTTGTCTCTGGCGGCCAATGGCCAGAGCAGCGCCTCAAGGACGGCGGCTACCTCAGCAATGGTGTCTGCCCTCGCTGCGGAGCCTGCCCTGAGACACCCTGGCACAGATACTGGGGATGTCAAGATAATGTGAATATTGATGACGGCCACCTACACCTTACTAACCATATGTATGAAGACTCCCTTGCTGGTGTTCCTGAATCTGAGTGTTTCTGGACTCGTGGCTTGGTTCCCCTGGGATGGACGTTTGGTGTGTTACCTCCTGTCGAAGTGAAGGTTTGGGCCTGGGGGACTTTCCATGAGGCGCTTCGTGAAGGTGTACCGATTCATGGGGGTATTTTCGGGAGTGACGCCTCAGGAGGAGAGCATACGAAGGATTGGAGGTTGAGGAGATGTGGGTGGTCTGTTGTTCACCTACTACCTGGAAGCCTCCAGGTGTCTGGTGTGTTGTGTGGCACCCTCCCTGGAGCCGAGCAAAATTCCCCTCGTGCCGAATTGTATGCTGTAGTCCAGTTGCTACGTTATGTTGTCGGTGATGCTGTGTTGTACACCGACTTCCTGCCTGTCGCTCGTGCCTTCGCTCGAAAGGATGCCGAGGTTGATCACTCGTGCATGTTGGACCTGTGGCAGCAGGTCTGGGACCAGCTTGGCAAGAGAGAAGGCAAGCTGGACGTTCACTGGTGCAAGAGCCACCCCACCTTCAAGCAGGTTTCCGCCCACCGCCTGACCCCCCAAGGATTAGTCGCCAACGGCGTTGCCGATCACTTTGCAGGGGAAGCTGCCAAGTGGGGGGCCCTGCCTGCTGAGAAGGTCAGGGAAATCCTTAATGTTGATGAGAATTGTCTCCGTGTAATTAAGCGTCTCCTCGCTGTCTCCAGGCATGTCTCGCTCATGTGCCCGAGGACACGCGAGGACCGTCTAGGTAGAGAGCACCACAAAGAGCGGGGCCCTAGTTCAAGCAACCTCCGCAAGGCGAGGTTGCGAGAGCAGGGCCATGATGTGTGTAAACTTGCTGGATCGTTTAAGTGCTCGCGGTGTCTGAGTAGATTTCCTGCCGTCCGCGGAGAGCTGGCCAAATTTTGGCCCAGCCAATGCCCTGGTGCGCTGGTGTTGGGGTCCTCGTCGTCTGTCAGGTTGGACCCTTCGGCTTCCCCTGGCCCCGCGTCCCAGGGCAACCCCGTCGGGCATCCTTGTTTCCCTCGTGCGCATCCGACGCACGTCTTGGCTGAATTCAAAGGGATTTTGTTTTGTCGGTGCTGTGGGTATTTTGCCGCCAACGTTGTTCAGAAGTTGGCCAAGCCCTGCCCACCCGCGTGCCCTGAGACTGGCACGCCTCTGTCCGCCACTGGCAGGCGTAACCTTGAGCGGCTAGCCGAAGGCAAGCCACCCAAGTATGGCATGGCCTTCCCCGCTCCTTGATTGTTTGTTCGTGGGCCCGAGCTTGCACTCGTGAATCCCCCGAATTCTGGAATCGCTGGAATCCTCTTCTTCCTCCTCCTCCTGCTCATGCTCCGGCTCCGGCTCCTCCTGCTCCCTCCTCATCCTGCTCCCTCCTCCCCTCCTCCTGCTCCCTCCTCTCCCTCCCCCTCCTCCCCTCCTCCTGCTCCTCCTTCTCCGTCCTCCTCCCTCCTCCTCCTGCTCTTGCTCCTGCTCCTCCTTCTCCCTCCTCCTCCTCCTCCTCCTCCTCCTCCTCGTCCTCCTCGTCCTCCTCGTCCTCCTCGTCCTCCTCCTCCTCCTCCTCCTCCTCCTCCGCCCTTCTCGTCCTGCTCCTCCTCCTCCTCCCCTCCTCCTCCTCCTCCTCCTCCTCCTCCTCCTCCTCCTCCTCCTCCTCCTCCTCCTCCTCCTCCTCCTCCTCCTCCTCCTCCTCCTCCTCCTCCTCCTCCTATCTCATCCTGATCATCTCTCCTTCCTCAACCCTCCTCCTCCTCCTCCGCCCTCCTCGTCCGTCTCCTCCTCCTTCTCCTCCTCCTCCTCTTTCTCTCCTCTTCCTCCTCCTCCTCCTCCTCCTGCTCATGCTCCGGCTCCAGCTTCTCCTTCTCCTCCCCTCCTCCCTCTCCCTCCTCTCCTCCTCCTGCTCCCTCCTCTCCCTCTCCCCCTCCTCCTCCTGCTCCTCCTTCTCCCTCCTCCTCCTGCCTGCTCCTGCTCCCTCCTCCTCCTTCTCCTCCTCGTCCTGCTCCTCCTCCTCCTCCTCCTCCTTCTCCTCCTCCTCCTCCTCCTCCTTCCTTCTCCTCTCCTGCTCATGCTCCGCTCCAGCTCCTTCTCCTCCCCTTCTCCTCTCCTTCCCCTCCTCCTGCTCCCTCCTCTCCCTCCCTCCTCCTCCTCCTCCTCCTGCTCCTCCTTCTCCCTCCTCCGGCTCCCTCCTCCTCCTGCTCCTGCTCCTGCTCCTCCTTCTCCCTTTTCCTCCTCCTCCTCCTCCTCCTCCTCCTCCTCCTCTTCCCTCCCCGCGCGGCCTCGGGGCTCCCTGGGGGGCGCGGCGCCCCCCATCCCCTGATGTCGCAGCAGCCGGCGCTGCAGCCGTTCGAGGACGCGGCGCTGAAGGCGCCCACAGGCGACGGCGACGACGGCGACGACGGCGACCGCGACGGCGACGGCGACGGCGACGGCGACGGCGACGGCGACGGCGACGGCGACGGCGACGGCGACGGCGACGGCGACGACGACGACGACGACGACGACGACGACGACGACGACGACAACGATGGCGACGGCGACGGCGACGGCGACGACGACGACGGCGGCGACGACGACGGCGACGACGACGACGACGACGGCGACGGCGACGACGGCGACGACGGCGACAGCGACCGAGACGGCGTTGGCGACGGCGACGGCGACGACGGCGACGACGGCGACGACGGCGACGACGATGACGACGGCGACGGCGACGGCGACGGCGACGGCGACGGCGACGGCGACGACGGCGACGACGGCGACGACGGCGACGACGACTTCGACGACGACGGCGACGGAGACGGCGGCAGCGACGACGGCGGCGGCGTCGGCGGCGGCGACGGCGACGGCGACGGCGACGGGGATGGCGACGGCGACTGCGACGGCGACGACGGCGACGACGGCGACGACCACGACCACGACCACGACCACGACCATGCCCACGACCACCACCACCACCACCACCACCATCACGACCACGACCACGATCACGACCGCGACCACGACGCCGACGACCACCACGACGACAATCACCACGACGACCACGGCTACGACGACGCCGCGGCGACGACCACGGAGGCGGGAACGGACTTCCTCTCATCCCGTCTTCCTTCTCCTCCTCCTCCTCCTCCTCATCCTCCTGCTCCTCGTTCTCCTCCTTCTCCACCTTCTCTTCCTCCTCCTTCCTCCCGTCATATTTCTTCTTGGCATCCCTCCTCGTGCCTTCTCTTCCTCCTTCTCCTCCTCCCTCCTCCGCCCTCCATAGTCCATCCTCCTTCCTCCCTCCTGCTGCTGCTAACGGCCATCTCGGTCTGTGGCCCGAAGCCTTTGCTCTCTCCCTCCCATATGGCAAGGAGATCATGACAAAGGGCTCGCTTGTGGTCGGTGTTGGGGGCTCCTGGTGGTGGGGCCGACGAGCGCGACGACGGGGGGAAGCAAGGATGCCCCGAGTGACCACATCGAGCGCAGAAGGACGATGAGGTAGAGGGAGGCGCGACAGCGAAGTGGGGGGGGCGGAGGGGGTCGATCCCTTCTCCTCCTACTCCTGCTCCTGCTCCCCCTCCCCCTCCTCCTCCTCCTTCTCCCTCCTCCTCCTCCTCCTCCTCCTCCTCCTCCTCCTCCTCTTCCTCCGCGTACTTTTCCACGTTCTCTTCCTCCTGCCTCCTCCTCACCCTCATCTCATCCTCATCCTCCTCCATTTCCTCCTCCTCCTCCTTCTTCCTCCACCTCCTCCTCCTCCTCCTCCTCCTCCTCCTCCTCCTCCTCCTCCTCCCTCCTCCTCCTCCTCCTCCTCCTCCTCCTCCTCCTCCTCCTCCTCCTCTCCCTCCTCTCGGGCCCCGCCCCCCGCGCCGAGGTGTTCCTGGGCGAGCTGCGGTGGCTCGATTGCGACGCGCAGGGGCGCACGGTCTGGGCGCGCCTGCCTCGGCGGCCAAGCCGCGTGTGGGTGCAGGCGCGCGGCTGGCCAGGGAGCGGGGGGGGGGGGAGCTTCTCGCGGGCGAGGGGCGACGCAGGAAGGAGGAGGAGGAGGAGGGAGGAGGAGGAGGAGGAGGAGGAGGAGGAGGAGGAGGAGGAGGAGGGAGGAGAGGGAGGGAGGGAGGGAGGAGGGAGGGAGGGAGGAGGAGGAGGAGGAGGAGGAGGAGGAGGAGGGAGGAGGAGGGAGGGACGTCTCTTGGGACGTCTCTTGAGGTGGGGGGGGGCGCCCGTGGCGCCCCCCCACCTGACTCGGGCGCGTCCCGCGCCCGCGCGCGGCGGGCGGCTCGCGGCCGTCCCGCGCCCCCGCCCGCGCGCGCGCAGCCGCCGGCGCTCAGCGCCCGCGGCGCGGCTGCCTGCGCCGCTCGGCGTGGCTCGCGAGCCGAGCTGGTGGCCCGCGCCTCCGCCGTGCCCCAGCGTGCTGAGCGGGGCATAGCGCGCAGCCGTTCTGCGGCGCGCGCAGCTGGGCTGTACACTAGCCCAGGAGGAGGCGGATGGAGGGCTGCTGGCCTCCTCCTCCTGCAGCAGGCGCGGCGCGGGCCACCTTGGCAGGCTGCTGCACCTCGCCCCCTCCTGGCAGCTGCCGCGTCCGCCGCGCCGCGCGCGGCTGCTGCTTCGCGCCTCCTCTGGCGTCAGCGCTTGCTGCCGCGGCTGCCGCTGGCTGGGTCGCGTGGTGGATCTGCTCCTCCAAGCGGTCCTTCCAGTCGTCGCGGTTGATCTTAGCCTGCTCAGCGGCTGGTCTCGGCGCGGCTTCTCCGTCATCATCAGCGCCGCGTGCCTCATCCTCGCGGGGGCTGGGCCGAGCTGCTGCCGCTGCCAAGAGCAGCGCCACGGCCTCGGCCGTGCCGATCCTGGCTCTGCCATCGCCTCCGCTGCTGTCAGGCTGGCCTTCGCTGTTGTGGAGGATCAGCGGCTGGAAGTCTGGGCTGCCCACGCCACTGAGCCTGAGGAAGGTCTTGGCCATCCGCTGCTGGTCGTCGGTGAGGTCCTGCCCTTGTTGCCGTCGCTCGCGGATTTTGGTGCGCTGGACCTCGCGGAGGGAGACGCTGCGGCTCCATGCTGTGCGGCACACCTCCTCCGCGAGCTGCTTCTTGTAGCCGCAGTAGTCGTCATCGTCCGTCGCGTTGAACAGGCAGTCCATGTCTTTGGCCTCCAGCTGCTGCAGCACAAAGGGGACGCACCACTTCAACCACATTTGCTGCTCGTCCAACTCCTCGTTCCGCAGGAACTCGCGGGGAAGCCATTCAGCTCCGATCAGGCCGATGGTCCTCGTGAGCTCGTCGAGGCGGTCCCTGCGCCCTGAAGGCACCGAGCGGGTGCATGTCCTTGCCGACGACTGTCCTGGGCGGTCCTTCTTGATGAAGGGGGACTTGGTGACGATGGCGTGGTCCGCAATGACGTGGAGCTCACCCTGGACGGGCTCGATGCTGTCGTCCACGTGGCTGCGAGAACTCCTGTTGAGTACTTCCTTGAGCCTGGCCTCGCGGCGGGCTGCGGCAGCTGCCATGGCCTCTCTGGCCGCAGGGGATCCTGTCACGGCTTGCGCGTCTGAGCTGGCGTCGGGCCCCGCCGGGCGGCGCGCCTTGCACTGTGGCTTGCCTGCAGGCCGCTGCGCGGACGCTTGGTCGCATTCCCGCGCGTGTCGGCCTCGGTGCTGACTGGCGCCTCCGCCTCCACGGGCGGCTGGTCTGTCTGGGCTTCTCCGTGCTGGAGACCGTGATCTTGCACCTCAAGCTGGTGTGCAAGTTCGACGACTGCTGGGTGCGCCCAGTCGGTGTGGCCCGCTGGCCCCACGGCAGTCTGCATGAGCTGCATGTCGTCTTCCTCCTCGGGTCGGCTGCGCCCGCCTACTATAATACTTAGCCAGGCCTGCACATTAGCGCTTCGGCGTCGGTGTTCAGCTCCTGGTACTGCTTCGGCTTGGGGCTGGTCGACTTGTTGTGCAACGAGTGTCGGCAGGTCCGTCGCTGCTGCTTCCTCGGCGGTCCCTGCCTGGCTGGCTGGGCGCTGCTGAGCACCTTCGGCGGGATCCTGCCCAGCCTGTGGTTGTAGTTGTGGATGGGCTTGGCCAACTCCGCCGTGAGAAGGTGCCGCATCAGGATGGTGGTAGTTGTCGTCGTCGCTGTCTGGTTCGGGCGCCTGGTCCCAAATAGGCCATGGTCGCCTCCAGCCTTCCGTGACGAGCCAGTTGGGAATGTAAGCTGGTCTCGGCAGCGCGGGTGCTGGTACTGTGGGTGGTCCATACCAGACGCCTGCGGCAGTGCCGTGTGGCGGAGCCCACTCTGGTGGCTGGCCTCCACGGATGGTGAGCTCGCCGTTGAGCGTGTCCGTCATCATTCGGTGGACCTCGTCAAGGTTGGCCCAGTGCATCGCGACCACGTGCAACCATTCGCTAACCCGAAGGGACTGGATGTGGTCCGTCAGCCGCTGGCGCGCTGTCTGCGTGTCGATTCACGCGAGGTTGATGATGCCGCGTACGTAGCTGGTGATGCCGTCGATGCCTGCGATGAACTCCACTTCGTCGCGCAGGCGCCTGTGAATAGGGTTGCTGAGCAGCGCCGTGACGTACTGGTTGCCCCATGCCGTCCATGATGTTTGCCCCGCTTCTGGCGCAGTGAGGTCGTGCACCCACGTGGCCGCGTAGTCCCGCAGCTGTCGGCAGAGGGCGTTCAGGCTGAGGGAGGTGTGGGTTGGCCTGGTCTCCTGCGCCCCGTCGTCACTGCCCGTGGATTTGTTGCTGATAGATTGCGCCCGCCTCCGTCCTGAGCGCGGGGACCTGGATCTCGGAGCGTCTGGCTCGACTGGCCCTGCTGGCTCAGCCTGCGCTGGGGCCTGGGGCGGCCCCTCTGCACGGGTCGTTTCGTCTAGCGCAACTGTTGCGTCCTCTGCTGCTGCAGCCTGCGCTGGGGCTTGGAGCTGCTCCGCTGCTGGAGCCGCTACGTCATGCGCATCTGCAGGGTCTGCTGCTACTGGGTGCTGAGGTCCTTGGATGACCGTCACGTGCTGCTGCTCGTCAAGTATTCTTGCCGCTGTCACTGGAGTGCCTCCTGCTGTCCCGCTGGAGTCGTTGTCGGCGTAGGAGCCGTTGCCTGGGTCTTGCTCCTGTGGTTCGGCGCTGGCGTTGGACCCATTCTGGTCTATGGTGATGTAGTCCGCTGAGATGTTGAGGTGCCCTACGCGGAACGCCTCATAGTGGTGCATCTGCTGCCTGGGGATGAGGAAAGCCCTTGCCGCGGCCTGGTAGGCAGTGAGGCGCTGGATCGCTATGGTTAAGTCGTCGCCATCCTGGGCGCGCGCGTGGGCCGGCCGCCGTTCCCGCAGGATGTGCCCACCGTCCCATCCACGGTCGCATATCTGTTGGGCACGGCGTTGGAGTTCGGCATCATAACTGGCGTCGCTGACGTACCTGAAAAACCCCTCGAAGTCCTCGCGCCGCAACTCCCGCTTGATGTAGTCCACGCATAGGTCGTTCCAGCTGACTCTGCCCGCGTGGCTGTCGACCAGATCGGTGATCCTCCAGCTTGAAAGTTGCTCCAGCGCGACCTCAAGTGGCTCCAAGTTCTCCTGCGCCACTACGCCGTGGATGTCATTGCCGCACTCCTTCAGCTTGGCGTGGTGGAGCGCTGGGCCCGTTTGGAGTTGGGCCACCTCGTCGCTTGGCGCTTCGCCTTCTTCCTCTTGGTGCTGTGCAGCTTGTCCTCGGCGACCTGCGGGACTGCGCGAGCGGTTGCTCGTCGGGGAGCTCGAGTCCAGCAGACTGTACTCTCGTGTGCGGTTCCCTCTGGGCTCGTCAGGTCTGGCCTGGGTGGGCTCAGTTGGTGGGCTGCGTGAACGATCAGGTCTGCGCGGTCGTGAGCTGTCTAGTGGCCGAGCGCCTTGGCCTGCATCGTCTGGGGGAAGGGCACCCCTCTGCATCCCTTCTGTCTCGGCCGAATGCCCCGAGACCTTGGCGTGTAGGTCGGGCCCGTCGTCCTTGGTGCAGTCCACGTCGTCTGGCTGCTCACGGTGGTCATCGCATCGGCGCTTGGTGGAGTTGCCAGCGCTGGTGGCCCGAGGTCTGCGTGTGCCCTGTCTCGGTCGTTGCTTGGGCCGCTTCGGTGCTTCGGCTGGGTCAGCGGGTTCTCCTGAGCTTCGCTTGGCTGAGCACGTGGCTGGGCCGCAATTTACTCCTGAACCTGGGAGGCCATCCCCAGGATTTTGCTCGAGACTCCTCCCGGCGGCTGAATTTACTCCTGAACCTGGGAGGCCATCCCCAGGATTTGGTTGAGACTTTGACGAGCAATTTACTCCTGAACCTGGGAGGCCATCTCCAGGATTTGTATCGCTGAGACTCCTGTCGCCATTATTTACCCCTGAACCAGGGGGGGTATCTCCTGGATTTGCTCGAGACGTCGGTTGCGGCGTTCCAGCCCGCAGGTACTCGCCTTTGCTTGTGGTTCGCTTTCTCATGCCCGAGTGGTCTGCAGGCAGGAGCGTCGATAGACCTCTGTGCTGCCACTTCCGCTTGGCTGTGCCCGCTTCTCTCGCTGCTGCGCGCGCTGAGCGGCTGGCTCTGGGTTTGCGGGGCGGCTCGGGCTCGGCGCCCGTGCCGTCGGGCCACTTGGCCTTGCCTGGCTTGGGGGGCTTGCCTCGCCGAAGGCGGTTGAGCTGGTGCTTGGCTGCTGGCGTTGTCCAACCTCGGCACCTGCGTCGGAGTCGTAGCACGCGGCACTTGCCATCGGCGGTGAGGGAGCCCATTGCTCCACATCGCCAGCACCAGCATTGCCCATGCAGGTAGCTCAGGTTGTGCGTTGGGTGGATCGGCCCATGGTTCATGAGGGTGGCGTACTCCGTCTCGGGGACCTTGGTGGCCAGCCCGCTGCTGTTGGCTACCAGTGGCATGGAACTGCAGCCGTGTGTCCGCATCCAGTCGATCATGGAGTACTTGCCAGGCCCCTTGCTGCATTCGAGGCAGACTCACTTGCCGTCGGTCCGCTTGTGCATTCGGTGGCCCGTCT